ATGTGGTTTAACATTTTCTATTACAAGCAGCAATGTTACTTTAATGGTGGGTTATACTGAAAAATACACAAAAAGATTTATGGAGTGTGAAACAAAATAAAACTTTGACTTTAAATTTATTAACTATTAAAATGAGGGAGAAAGAGTTATTTGTACAGTTTTCTGGAGAAACGTGTTTACTATTACAAAGCAGGTGCTTGGGTTAGGGTTTTTTTGTTGATGTTGTTGTTCCTTATATGCCTTTTACAATCTAGTGATAAAAGAATGCATAGTTGGTTCATTGAAGGTTATACAGTAGTGCAGAAAGACAAGTTACATGGAATATATATGGGCTTGGGGGAAAGAAACATTAATGTTAAACATTAACTATCTGTTACTTCAAAGTGAGCAAGGTTTTTGAGAAAACAAGAAAGGGAATTTGGGGGGAAATAATGAGGTTGGTTTGCAGTGGTATATTTAAGGATAAAATACCCAGAAGTTTTGGAGTACTCGCCAGGCTTCTGGGGAGCTATCTAATTTTAATGAGCCATTGATTTTCTCATAAAATAAAATTTATAATATTAGATTATATTTTGTGATAGGTAGGTTTATTGTGCCAACCTGGCCAATAAGAACATGTGGGATTAATCAGGTCACAGTTTGATTGGAAGGCAAATAGATAAATGGCTCTATAAGGTCTACCCCTCTCTCTCTTGCTCTCTGGTGATCAGACCAGAGGGTGGCTGCGTTAGCTAGTTCTCTGCCTGAACTTATGAGCTACACTACCTGTGGGACAGGCCAAGCAGAGGATCCTGTCGCTAGAGCTTGAAGTTCCTTTGAGACTTGCTTCACCATGCTGTTGGTGTGTACATAACTTGAACTTGAACCTGGTGGTTCCTGCCGTCTTGCATTGCTTGAGTTCATCTTTCATTGTTTGAGTTAAATATCCTATCCACGCCTGCTTTGCTAAACTCCTGAGCTGCTGACTGTTGGTGACCCATCATGCTGTTTGCTGCCCGTGAGCAAACTCTGCCTGCATTGCCTGAGGGAAGACTCAGCTGTCTGCTTCCTTGACCTTGGACCTGGCAGCCCTCATGAGTTGAAGGACTTCCAGTATATTAACTGTTCCATGGAAATGAGTTGAACTGAGTCCTCTGTGCTGCTGTGTGGATGAATTAGCTATTGTTTTCCTTCATGCTGTATAAATCTATCTATCTATCATCATAAGTCTCCTGGTTTTATTTCTCTAGAGTACACTGCCTAACACATTTTTAAGCAAAAGTTTGAAACTATTTTTATAAAAAGGTCCACACACTTCATAAGAACAATCTACTTAATTAACGATTAATGCTATATACATATATTGTACTCATATAGGAACCTTTCTAAAGGTAGGTAGCATTTCAATCACATATAAAATACATTTGTCATATAAGTAATTGCACAAAGTTATTGTGTTTCTCAAAATTCATACTCATATGTTCCCCAAACCATCAGTAAAGTCTTTCCCGAGTTGTGGGATTCTGAGATTCTCTAAATAGATTTTGATAGGTGTCTTGCAGAGATTTGGGGGCAACCTGGAACTTTACGTCAGTGACATTTTGAAAAACAGATCCAAGAATATGTGATTGACTGTCCTCTTGGCTTCATGTTATGTTGCTATGGCAAGCACTGGTCACACTTCTAATTTTTGCTCACTGTAATACAGTCTCATTGATCTCGTAAGCACCCATCAGTGCAAATGTTATCATTTCTCCCCTGATATTATGCATGGCATTCCATCCTTTAAGATTCAAGAACCAACCAGTGCTTGCTTAAATAAATTTATCCTTTTCTTTCTCGCCACATTAAAAATGAAAGCCTTGTCATCTAATTGATTCTCATTCATAGAAACACTCTAGGACAGAGTAGAACTGTCTCTTTGGACTTCTGAGGCTGTCAATCATTACTGACAGTTGGTGAGTTCAAATTGCTGACCTTGGGTTTATTAGCCCAATGAGTAACACATTATGTCACCGGGGCTCCGTTCTCACCACATTAGGGATTTACAATGTCAATCTGATTATACCCTAGATCAAGTCACAAGGACATTGGTAAAATAATGGGTTTTGTACTGGATTGTAAACTACAAGTTTAGCAGTTTGAAAACAGCAGCCACTTTGTGGGAGAAAGATGAGGTTTTCTGCCCCCATAAAGGTTGGTCGAACGTTTAACTATCTCACCCCTAAGGTGATCGCTGGAACTCCTTGTCTTTGGTAAGGGATGTGATATTAGCTGGTACTGATGATTCACAGGGTGTGTCTTATATGACTCGAGGGACAGACATTCCCCACTCCTGAAATCCACAGGGGCAGTTCAACTCTGTCCTATACAGTCAAAATAAGTCGGAATCAACTGGATGGCAGTGAGTGAGATGAAATCACTTGTGCTAAATGCCACATTAGCCAATCAAAATTTACCTAGTTTGTACTTTCCATAAATGTCTAATCTGCACTAGGAGCCAAGACCAAAGTCAATCAATTATCTCGCCCCAAAACAAAAATTGAAACTAAGCAACTAGGACTTCATGCTCATTTAAGCTAATGCAAAATTTCCTCTTAATCCAAAATAAGGAAAGAAAATTTTCACCAGTCAATCAGAAAATTGACCAATGTAATGTCCTGTGTCAGTGCCTACAAAACTCTCTTTTCTGCACATCATTTTGGAGATTTTGTCTGACTTCCAGACCAGATACCCCATCCATTTCACAAATTAACAATAAAGCTTATGAGCTCGTACAAATATTTAGCCTTGTGAAAATTTTATTTTTAATAGTGTTATGAAAAAGTCTAAAGATTCTGGTTTAACGATAGCCAAATGAAAGTTATATACTCACTGCCATTGAGTCAATTCTGACTCATAGGGACCCTCTACAACAGAGTAGAATTGCTCTTGTGGGTTTCGGAGACGGTAGCTCTTTACAGGCATAGAAGCTTGGTCTTTCTCCCAAAGAATGGCTTATGGCTATGAACTTCTGACCTTGAAGTTAGCAGACCAATACATAACCACTATGCTACTAGGGCTCCTAAGTGAAAGGTACATGATTCAATTAACCCATGGATCAAAAAAGCATGTGTTTAAGAGTCCTACCTTTTGCCAATCACTTGAAAGGGGGACATATGAGTATGATTATTTATAACTGAGGCTCCTTTTCTCCACAAACGTAGCAGGATGCATAGTCCCAAATGAATGTCTTTCAAAGTCATCTACTTAAGGTCAGTCCTGCCTACACAGTCATTATGTTAATGCTGTCATTAATGCAAAACCCTTTAGAAACCTTTCCTTTGGATCGAAGTTAGCAAAGAAAGCACAAGAAACCTAGTTACTAGTTATTTTGTAGTTATAGAATTCTTTACTAGAAACTCTTCTTCTCCTTCTCCTCTTCCTCTTCCTCCTCCTCCTCCTCCTCCTCCTCCTCGTTCTTCTTCTTCTTCTTCTTCTCCTTCTTCTTCGTTTCCCCCTATTTGTCTCTCTTCTTAGTCCATAGCCAATATATTTAAATGGATATTCTGAGGATTACTACCCCTCTTCTGCTCCCTGCACACCAAGTATCAGTGGTTTTTAAATTGCAAGTGTAAAAGATAAAAGCTATACATTGAACTTCAAAAATGTCAACTTGAGAAGTTAAGGGGTACTTATATTCAAATCCTCTTCATGATTCCAAAGCAATGACTATAATCTTTGTAAAAATGAAGATAAGAAAGTTTACAGAAAGAGGACCCATACCTTTCTGCCAGTCCCTTATGACCTGGTAATATTTTATGTTTCTAACGCAATTCTCTGAGCTCTGCTGAGAGGAAAGATTTTTAAAGTAAGCATAGATTTGTTCATATGTTTATTAAAGCATAGATGCTGTAAAGTTTAAAGAACACTGTGCTCTAGCTATAAAAAATCTAAATTTAAAAATATCTAAATTTTACAAAAGGTTCATCTCTCAGTTTTCCAATTTTCTTTGTTCTATTTGTGAAGAATTTTGCTATGCATTATACTTTAAATTATGCTTTATGATAAATTTAAACTATTTCAGGCTGTCATAACTCATATCACCAGAAAACAATATATCAAGAGATTATTTGGATAACCCAAGTATGACGTAGTGCACAGACTTTTCAAGTAACGCAAGACAAACTGTGCTGAAATGGTCTTGTTCTTATGTGACCTACAGTAGCACCCATCTTTGTATTTTGAGTTTACTTTAGCATTAACATAGTAAATATAACAACACAACATGAGGAAATCATTAAAACATATTCAGTGTACACTATACAAGTGTTGGCCATCCAAATCAAGACAAGTTGCTGAATTTTCTGAGGTTCTCTTTATTAATTTGTACTAGAAATTTGTACAAGTATATGGGGGCAGATGTGATGTTATATGTGGAATTCTCTAGCACAGTGACAACTCAGAACACAATAGACATCCAAAGAGATATTCTAAAGGAATTAATAAATCCCTAAACCCCTCCTTCAGTAAGTAACAGGATGTAGATCTTAAACTTCCAGCACATATTTGCTTTAACTCTTTACTCCTCCCTGCTTTTGGATTTCTCTTTTAAAAATACTGTATTTTTTACTTTTACTCAGAAATGCTTTCATATGAAAGAGAAATTTAGTTACTTTTACATGCTGTAAAATATTCATGCGTTTATTGTATCTCCTTAACAATGCCATTTACTTGAAAATATTTACAATAAAATATACCATTTTTAATTCATTAAAATTAGGTCTTTTAAATAGCAAGTGACTTGAATTTCAAAAGATCAAATAAGCAAATCTCATTTTCTCTTCTCTCCCGCATTTTCCATACAATGCATTCATGATCACACAATACATTCATGTTATCACCTTTGTGAAAACAAATACTACAGCTATTTCTGTTATTCCCAAAAGTCCCTTAAAGAAATTGTCTGGCTATTCATCTCACACCTGAAACTAGCCAAGCAATGTGGCTTACAAAATAATAATCGAGAAATTATTTTACTTTTAGCTAATCATTGATGAACCACTCTCCTTACTCATGAGACGGGAACGAGTCACAGAAGTACTACGGCGAGATAGTTGGTCACGAAACTCTGAGGCCATGAAGTAATAGAGAATTGGATCTAAAAGACAACATAGACTTGCAAGACATAAACAAAAAGGATGGAAATACAGTGTGCTTTGGGCAATGAAGCAACTTCTAATGATTTCTTCCTTTACCATGGTGTAAAAAACAAAATTAATGTGATAGGGGGTGAAGCAGATGAAGAAGACTGCAGCACACATGAAAACCATTCGCAGTGCTTTCTGCCTCTCACTGATTCCTTGGAAAGCCTCTGGTGGCTTTCGCAGGGATATAGTTGTTTTCCAAGTACACCATGCAATGATAACCACTGGGATGACAAATCCCGTCAGTTCAGCAACTGTCACCATTCCAACCAACGCCACTTCATCCATTCGCTTGTAACCAAGATCAGCAAAGCAGGAATCTGTGTGGTTGGCTAAGTCTTCATTTCTCAGGATAGGAAATGGCAAGCAGGCGGTCCCCACACTGACCCAGATAGCAGCACTGATGCCCACGTCATACCTACGCTTCCAGTTTCTGGCTTTGAAGGGCCTGAGGAGAAAGAAACATCTCTGAAGGCTGATGCACGTCAGGAAACAGATGCTGGCATACATGTTGAGATACTTCAGGTAGAAGCACAGCAGGCAAAGGACTCTCTGGAAAGGCCAGTGGTGGCTGATGTAATAATAAATCCGGAGGGGTAAGGAGAGCACATGAGCAAGGTCAGCCACGGAGAGATTGATCATAAAGATGATGGCTTTATTTTTCTTGCTGATGAAGCGGCCCAGAACCCACAAAGCTGCACTATTGGCGAGAAGACCAGGGATGAATATGAGAATATAGGTGGTTGCATACAGTGAGTTCTGAAATGTCACATTAGGGGAATTGCAGCCAGTTTCAACATTGCTGGTGCTGTTGTTGCTACTCATCTTGAATATTCCAATATATTTATCAAGGTAAACCACAGCGTTAAGGTACCTGCCCAAAACAAAGGGGAGGCAGTTAATATTGGTTAACTAGTTCTTTACTTAATTGTCAATTCTTCCTTTTATACTTACAGATGCATGGGATATTAGGACCAGAAGGGAACTATTTACAGATGTGGAAACAGATATCATGAAAACTTCATGATACTGATACCAGTTCAACAAATGAGTCAACTAGAGAGCCATGGGATTGTCTTTCAGCTCTCCTCCCAGATTCTATATAAAGTGTGTTCTGAAATGCTCCATCTACTCCAATAATTCCCACTAAATTCAAAGGGTATAGATGTATATTGTAATCTCTAGCATTTGATTCTGTTTTCTTTGACTCCAACTCTGTCTTGCTTCAAGCCCTAGTTAGAGTGAATACTATTTACACATTCCCAATTTCAATGCTAGAAAATGGTCCTGTCTCCTAGAACCAGTATGACAATGTCCTAGATGACATTCAGGGCTTGGGAACAAAGTCTCCCTACTATTCTGTCACAGTAGCTGGTTCTCTTGCATTTTGTCTCTCCCCCTTCACATTGGTGCCACTCAATATTTACCTGGAAATTTTTAGTAGTATATGAGTATGGATTCATTCAGAAGTGAAGCCGGAATATTCCCCTTTCTTTATGTTACCTGGAAAGGAAAAAAGTAATCTCCCTTTAAGAGGCATCTGTGCCAGCGTGGTGTCAAGTTTATGTCATGATTATCCAGCAGTCACAATGAGCAATGTCAAGAACACCAGCAAAACAAAGCTACCAAAACTTGGTGTGTGTGTGGGGGTGACAGTTTAATATATAATACTTGGCTTTTGTTCATTAAGATATCTTTCATCAAAAGAAAATAATTTCTGGACTTCTTTAATCATCCTGTAGAGCAGTGGTTCTCAACCTGTGGGTTGTGACCTCTTCGGGGAGTCGAATGACCCTTTCAGATGGGTCACTCAATTCATAACAGTAGCAAAATTACAGTTATGAAGTAGCAACGAAAATAATTTTATGTTTGGGGATCCCCACAACATGAGGAACTGTATTAGAGGGTCACATCATTAGGAAGGTTAAGAACCACTGCTGTAGAGGAACTCTGGTGGTATAATGATTGTATCTTTGACGACTAACCACAAGGTCAGCAGTTTGAAACAACCAGTCCCAACATGGGAGAAAGACAAGGCTTTCTACTCCTGTAAAGAATTACGGTTTCAGAAACTCAAAAGGGACAGTTCTACCCTGTCATCTAGGGTTGCTATGAACGGAATGGTGGTGAGGTTTGTTTGGTTTGATTCATACTGTATGCGTTAGTGTGGTTACAATTATGTATTCTATGTGAGGCATGGATAGTATATAGTAGTAATCTTTAGGACTTTTCAAGGTCTAACTAAGGAGATACACAAGCTGTCTACAAATAGAAATAGTTACAGAGTAAAAGATTTATTATTTTACTTTAGTTATCTGCTAAGGAACTTTCAAAGTAATCTAATTCATCTACTATAATATACAGATCGAAGAAACAAGACCCAGAGAAAACAGTTTATTAACTCACATATCTACTAAATGGAAAAGTTGGGACTTCAAAGGGGACTATAGAGTGCTTAATCTTCATACCCTCTCTGTGCCCCATAAATTGTTTTCCTACTCAAATAAGCTTTTAAAAAAAGACCTTCTGCCCATATCATGGAAATGCTTATTACATATAGAACTAGAAGTGGAAGAAGTAAAGCAGTGAGTTTGTTCCTCAGGTATAGTAAGAAATTTTGCTATTATTGTCATTTTGTTTTATACATTTGGAAAAAGAAAGGAATGACCTATGTAAATTTTCTAATCATAGAATGGGTTCTTATTTCATTTTCAGTCCGACCCCAAGAGATTTTTGATCTTGGGTGCTGTGAAGTCCATTAAGATTCATCGTGAAACCAATTGACAGAATAGAACTACCAAATAGGGTTTTCTGTGCTGGAATCTTTACAGATACAAATTTGCAATCATTTCTCTCATGGGGGTCCTGAGTGGGCTTGAACCATCAACCTTTAGTTTAGCAGCCAAGAACTTAACTGTTATGTCACCAGTCCTCTAGAAAATAGAGATGTGATCAAAGAACAGAATTACAAATGTTGAATCCACAGATAATAATGTCTGCTGATATAAACTTCCCCTTCTCTTGCAAGTGCTTTTATTTTCTCTCTTTTTCTGTTCAATAAAAAATAGAAAGATCAAGGGGGGATATAATGGAACTACCTTAAAAGCTGAATAGCATACTGATTAAACTACTGTGAAAGAGAAGAAATAGAAATTGACAATTAAAAAATCATGGACTCAAACAAGAATGAAATCACAGCATACCAAAGCCTTTGTGGCACAGCAAAATCAGTACTCAGAGGTCAATTTATAGCAATAAACACACACGCACCAAAAAATGAAGAAGAATCAAAATCGATACCTTAACACAACCCCAATAATGAGAAAAAACAGCAGAAGAGAAATCAAGTTAAGATCACCTAACTAAAAACAAAAACAAAAAAACTAATCCCACTGTCATTGAGTCAATTCCTATATAAAGTCTCTGCACCTTTAATCTATGGGAGCAGATAGCCTCATCTTTCTCCTGTGGTATGGCTGGTGAGCCATACCCAACAGCACCACCAGGGTCACCAATAGAAAGGAACTAATGAAGATTTCAGCAAAAATAAATGGAGCATACCGTACAACGAATCAACAAAACTGAAAGTTAGGTCTTTGATAGGATTGATAAAATGTGCAAATGTAACAAATGTTACCAACAAAGAAGATACAAATAACACGAAGAAGAAATGAAATGGGCAACATCATAATAGAATCCAATGAAATAAAAAGGATATCAGAATATTGTGAAGAACTGTACTCCAACAAATTTGAGAACCTATCAGAAATGGACAAATTTCCAGAAACAAATTATCTACCTAAACTAAAACAGATAGAAGTCGAAATTTTTAATAGACTGGTGGTGTAGTGTTTATATGTTGGGCTGCTAAGTGCTAAGTCAGCAGTTTGAAATCACCAGTCATTCCTAGAGAGAAAGACTAGGATTTCTTGTCCTATAAACTGTTACAGTTTCTGAAACCCACATGAGTCAGGGTCAACTTGATGGCAGTGAGCTTGGTTGATGCCGACCCCGAGCAACCCTGTAAGACATGGTAGAACTGCCCCTGGGGGGTTCTAAGACTGTAATGGTTTACCAGAGAAGAAAGCCCCATCTTTCTTATGGGACTGGCTGGTGGTTTCACACTACAGACCTTGTGGATCACAGAGCAATGTGTAACCACTCCATGACCAGTGATCCTGGAATTTGGTTTACTAGAGTATCACAAAAATTAATAAATAAATTGAAAAAGTCAATAAAGAAAATCCTTGCTCATACAGTTTCACTGAAGTATTCCATTCACTGATATTTCAAGAAATATCAATGAAGAACTAATACCTATTATTTGTGAACAATTTCAGCACCTGGGAAAATCTGGAGTATCCCCAACCTCATGCTTTGAAGCAACACAACCATGAGAACAGCATAAAGTAAAGATGCTAAAAAAAAAGTGTTATAGTTTAATATCCCTCAAGAGCACAGATACAAAAATTGTCAACAAACACCTAGTCAATAGAATCTAACACTGCAAAAAAAATAAGATGATGAGCAAGTAAGATTCATACCAAATATGCAAACATAATATATTTGAAAAAAACAATTAATGTAATCTACAAAATAAATAAAACACAGGAAAAGACCGAAATGATTATTTCAATCTATGCAGAAAAGACGCATGACAAAATCCAATATGTATTCCTGATAAAAAAAAATGCTCATCAAAATAGGAATAGAAGGGAAATTGCTTTAAAATATTAGAACATAGACACTAAAACAATGGCCAACAGTGTTCCCAAAAGAGACTATAATCATTCCACCTGAAAACAGAAACTTTACAAGTATGCCCTCTGTAACTACTACTATTCAACAATGTGTTAGAAGTCTTAGAAACAACCACAAGTCTGTCAGTTTGTAGTATTCTGTTGCCATGATACTGGGAGGGTACCAGTATTTCATATACCATTGAGTAAAGGAGATTAATGGCTATCAGAATGAATAACATCTGGGGTCTTAAATGCTGGTTTTCAAATAAGCAGCCATTTAAGTGAGACGTCAATTAAGCCCACATGGAAGAAGCACACCACCATGCATGACCCAAGGATGATAAATTGTGTAATGCAAATACAAAGGATGGAATGATATCAGAGCTTAAATCATGAAATTCTGTTTTCCCAAAGGCTATGGTTAACAGTGGAAGCTTAAAATCCATTTGCAGGATCTACACACATGGAATAGGCCTCCAGGGATTTCCCTCTGACCATAATCAAGGGATGGGAATCGTTTGGTTATCAGGCAGAGAGTAATGTAGAGATGATTATAGTAGATTAAAGTGAAAAATCTGACTTGAATGGTTAAAATTTTATCATGTGTTCTCCCTTTTGACATACTTCGAGTTTAATCTGGTTTTGAACATTTTCTGGGTTGTTTTTTTAAAAAAAAACAGATTTATCTCTGTTGTATTTTGTTGTTGTTGATAGCCTTCATGACTCTCTGATATGTATTTTTCTATGTATTTCAGTATATGAAATCCAGGATGGGTGAATCTATAGATTAATAACTTAGATTAAGAGTTCCTGGGTGGTACGGTAGGGGCAGTGTGAGTGGAGCGATGAGGAGGATAATGGTGAGCTAATATCATGAGGAAGAAAATGTTTTGGAACTGATGGTGGTAGTGATTGTACAACACTGCTTGATATGACTGAACTATTAAAAGGTATGATGTGTCAATGATGTCCTAATAAGATGGTTTAAAACAATAATAAGTAAAACACAGTAATCCCTCAAAATAAAGTGGAATACATAAATACTTATATAATGTTAGTGCTCTGAAATCAATTGGACTTAGCCATTTTCATTGGACAATCACATGGTTTGCTATTCCAGGAATGAGAACTT